GCCCCGATTTTACAACAGTGAACAGTACTGCAATGTTCCAAGCTTGTCAGTCCAAACTCTGAAGAGAAAAGGGCCAGGCTCATAAAATTCTCCTTCTTGCTCTGCCTTTCTCTCTAATGACACTTGGAGCCTGGCTTTTGCTTAGAAAGCACATGGTACATGTTCTCCACAAAACATCAAATGCCATCACACCCTCTTAACATTCAACTCAAGCCAAGTCTTTATGAACTTGAGGGTTTACAAAGAGCCGGGCATTCTGCACACACAATAGGTTGGGAGAGGCTATTCACCAGGCACCACAGAATTTACCTGCAGAGTAACAGTTGTCAGCAGGTGGGGCTTACAGTGGCTGACATGGTCAACACCAGGACACTGATTCGTAAAGAAGGAAATGTCATGTCACTGCCCAGTTCAGCTTCACTGTACTTCACTAGTATGAAAAGGTAACCAAGATGATGTGAGTGCAAAAATGTATGCTAGATATAGCATATGCTGCATAAACTTATTTAAGCAAAGGAACTACTTAAAAATAAAAATACAGCTCTACTCTGGATTGTTCTTCATCTGCTAGCAAAAGTAAGCGAAGTGTTAGAAACGGAGATGGGTGGAGTTGGTAGAGCTCTAAGAGAAACCGAGAATAGGAGCAGGCACACATGTGAGTTTACAAGTTCTGTACTGGGGACGAGCATGCCTTGCTAAATAAATTGCTCTTGCACCCAGAAGAGTGGGAACCCTCTCAGCAGTTGACATGTGTCATCTTTCTGTTTGGATCCTAGAGAGAGCTGTGGGTAGACAGAAACCAACTGTGTAGGGAGCTGAAGGTGGAGTCGCTCACAATAGAGAATATTCTGGATCACTTTTCACAAAGAGCAGTGCATGCCTCCTTGTTTCTGAAGCAATGGGGGGAACTGCTAAAAACAGACTACACGGACCCCACTCCAGACTCAGAACCAGGGCAGGTCTGAGAATATTAATGTCTCCAGCGGTCGTACAATTCTCAAGCCAGAGAGTTAGAGAACCACAGTTTCAGACACATTTCTGACTCTCCTGTGCTGTGGCTCAAGTCAGGTCTCTGAAATGGCAAGTCTCTATCAAGACAAACAAACAAGCTATTAACCTGCTGGGGGAATTCTCCAGCTTCTTTCCAGGGGCAATAAAAGACTTCGCCAGGGAACTGTTTTGGCCAGAGAGCCTCAGTGAGCAGTTGTGATACATCCACTGTGTCAAGCATGAGAAGCACACATTCAGCCTAATGTAGCCTAAGTTCATCTCAGCACCTTAGCACAGTCTTCTTGTCATCAGACTCTGACAGCTGTAATAACAAGCCTGCCCATCAATCAGTCCCTCGTGGGGACTTCTTGTCTCTTTTGCCTGCAAGGCCCCATGGAGGGACTTCACTTTCCACAAGTCCTTTTCCTCCACTATTCTGCAAACTGTGATGCTCACAGAGTCTACCATGGGCCTTCTGCTCCTGGTGCTCTCTGTCCTGTGGACCCTTTTTTCTCCCTCTTCTCCTGTCTCCCCCATCTCCCTAACCTGTTGTTCCCAGCCTTCCCATCACCCACAAGTATCTCCATTCACATGTCCCACAGATCCTCACTAGGCCAGTCTCCCATGCACCTTCCATGTGACCCTCCTGAAGTCCTCTTAGCTTATAACACATGGATTACCATCAATATCCCAAGACCACAGCATACGTGTGGTCATCAAAGTTTGTCTTCTGATTCTACATCCCATCTGTGGACTTACTGTTATTGTCAGCTGGACCTTGTAACATCTTGTTGTCTCTTCACAAACACTAAAGCATGATCTAAGTCATCTCATTCATCCTGCAATGATGTCTCCTATTTTCAAAGACTCGGGGACTCCTCATTGCCTACAGTTAAGTCAAACTGTTGGCATAAGCTGAATCTCCTGTCACCTGGCTCCTCTCATTCACTAAAAACCAGTGCTGCACCATAAAAAGCATGACCACAGGGCTTTACCTATTTTGACCTTGAAATCACCTCTCATAAGATCTTTCCCTGTGCAGACATCTGCCCATGCATCACTTTCCCTATTAGTCATGGGTTCTGTCTCTTAAGGTATCCCAAATGCAGCACGTGACTCCTGGTGTGAATGTTTACCAAATGACTACCTGAGCGCACGATGTACCGCTGAAGAAGAGCCTGGAGAGAGGATGCCAGAGAAAAGTGGCCATGAAAGTCTAGGGAAAAAAGCCATGCTCACCCGGGGAGGATGAGGACAGTGATAACAACAGCAACAGTATGGACATGACGGGGAATGCCCTATCTTCATCCACTCCTACAATGCTCTCGGAAGAACTGCTAAAATTTCACTCAGTCAACACCCCAAGCCTATGACATAGACACTATTGAGGCTATTGTTCCCACTTCAGAGGTGAAGAAACTAAGGCACAGAAAAATTTTAAAAATGACTTGAATGGGAAGGGCTGTAACATGGTCTATGCACAATTAAAATCTCCAGATAGGCAGTCGTAGGAGGAGCTGCAAGGCCCATGAGCCTCCACTGTAGGAAGTACTGCCCTGGTGCACAAGGGTCTACAGCTGGAGAAGCAAGTCCTAGGAGTCACTTCCTATATGCTAGGGGACAGAGATGAGATCAAGGAGAGAGAGGGGGGGAGGGAAAAGAGAGGCCCAGGATCAATCACTGGTAACATTCCTGTATATGGAGGAAAATAAACAAAGCTCACTGAGGGGAAAGAAGGGTGAAGACTATCAAGGTAAGACTTATTGAAGGAGGAAGAGCAGAGTTCAGGCCCCGGCACTGCAGGGTATCTCCACAGCACAGAACTTCTGCCCAGAAGTCGGGAGGCGCTTGGTTATTTGGTCTGTAAGGTCCTCACATCTATCCTTGATTACCACCTTCCCCACCATCCAGTTGGTTACATGCCTGCATCTCCAGGGAAGAGAATGAGGATGAGAGCCCTAGATATATCAAAGAATCATTTACTTGCCACAAAACCTACCCACTGTCAAGTATCTGACTTGCTTTTTTTGTCTTTGTTTGTATGTTTGTTTTTGTTTGTTTGTTTTGGTAAGTTCTAGTTTTAGAGCATTCCATCACTCTGTTGTGGTTGGAAACAAACTGCCACTCATACAGCATTCCTTGTGTCTAGCCACCCCAAAAGCAAGTTAAACACAGACTATGTGTTATCACCTACTAGGCCTCCATCTCAGAGAGAGGCTGAAGGTTTTAGCCAACCAAACATGCATTGGCTTGAGAACAGATCTGAATTCTGTTTCTAACCAGAACTGCTTTTAAAGCTCCTTCGGGTTAAATGACAGGACAAGAGCTCCAACGAAGGGCAGCAGAGAAGAGAGGCAAACATCCAAAGAGCTAGAATCAATGGAAGGAGCTCCTACTTTGGGATGACACTTTAGCTCATAATATCTTGACATGGGAAAAACCTCTTTATTTTAAGAACAAGGTCATACCTACACTGGCTGCAGTAACTATAGCAAACACATTCTGCCTACTGACTCTAGCCATGCCATCACTCCATACTTGGGGCCTATCTCTGGGACCTTTGGAAGCTATCCTCAGTACATGGCCCCATACTAGCCATGAGACACAGAATGACCCCAAGCCATACACACATGACAGAACACTTTCCCCAGTACAGGTCTATAGCTAATTGCAAAAACTGATGAAATTGGAGAGAACTCTAAAATGTGCATCTAAGCCAGTAATTCTCAACCTTCATGATTCTGTGACCCTTTATTACAGTGCCTCATGTTGTGGTGAGCCCCAACAAAAACAAATCATTCATAACTATTTCATAATTATAAATTTGCTACTGTCATGAATCATAATATAAATATCTGATATGCATGGTTATGACCCTCAAAGGGGTCGAGACCCACGAGTTGAAAGATTTAATCTCTTTGGAGATGTCAAAGGTTCTGAGAGAAAAGGGACCCCCCTTGACAGCATCAGCAGCCACCACTACAGGGAGGAGAATCCCATAACATTCCTGTCTCTTCTACACCAACCTCATGCAAGAGTCCAATTTCATCTAACCAGAAGGCACCAACGACAGGAAAGATGGTGGGTTTGGTGACCAAACATGCTTTAGGAAATCACATGAAGACTACCAATGTCTTGGCATGGGTAGGAGAAAGTCGAGATTTCTCTGCAGGCTTTTGCTGGAGCTCTCCAGGCAGCCCCAGCTCTGCCAAGTGCATTCCAGAGCTTGCCTCACATGCCCAGACCAGCCAAGGCCTTTGCATTTGCAATGACTTCACACTCAGCCAAAAGTAAACATACTCTCCACTTTTTCCATGGACAAATACTAACCCCAAATTGCCAGTGTTGGCCTCTATGCAATCCAAATGGAAAGCAGCCTTTCCCAAAAAAATAAATCCATTTTAACTCAATGATATCTCTTGGTCACACAAAAAAAAACGCTGCTAAAATCTTCCTAGAAATTATTCATCATGCAATCATGCAGGATGATATGATCACACAAGCAAAGCCTGACAATGGAACAGTGGCACTCAAAATACAACTGATGATCTAAGAATGCTCGCTCCAACACCTGCACTCAAGAATTAAGCAGTACATTTGTAACACACACAAGACCCACTACTCTGGCACCCATACATGCGCATAGCTCACCATTGCCTGACTGAAATATTCTTTCTGGGAACAGACTGTGCTAAGGCAGGTACTGACTAAAAAAAAAAAAGAAAAGAAAAGAAAAGAAAGAAAGGAAGGAAGGAAGGAAGGAAGAAAGGAAAGAAGGAAGGCAGGAAGGCAGGAAGGCAGGAAGGCAGGAAGGCAGGAAGGAAGGAAGGAAGGAAGGAAGGAAGGAAGGAAGGAAGGAAGATGGCCCAAAGACCTGAACTGTGTCAAATACTGGCACCTGTCAAACATACATCTCATTTCTCTCCCACCTTGCACTTGTACTCAGAACCCATGTGGTCTAAGCTCAGTTGCTTCGCAAATAGTAAAAAACGCAGAATCGCCAGACTTACCAGGTTGGAGTTGGTGGCGTTGGAGTCATCTTCTGGAAAGGGAATATAGATCGCTAAGGCCACACAATTGGCAAAAATAGTCAGTAAAATAATTATTTCAAATGGTCTGAGAAAGGAGTTAAGGAAATCCATGCCACTGTTAAAACAAGTGAAACAAGCATACATCTATACATACATATATTTTTTAAATGAATCAAAGATTCATAAGAATTCTGTTTAAACAATGCATTCCAGGCCCCTTGTATTCTGAAGAGAAACATATGCCTTTTAAGTGCTTCTAGTGGACCCCCGCCAAATTTTTTTCCTAATATGTCAAGAGCAGTGGAGGCCAGTCGCGTGCCAGAGTAAACACAGGTTTCTAAATACTTCTTCCCTGCTTTTGTTTATTTAGATTACATTTGATTTCATTTTCCTCGTGTGAGCTTGGGGTAAAAAGCCCTGTCTGCCCCTAGGAAGGATTCCCAGCAGGACCCCATTTCCATGACAGTTCATGGCTCATCAACTGTCACCATGGACCATGCATACATGGTAAGAGAAAGCATTGGAATAGGGTTTTAAACAAAGCAGCACTTCATAGAAATCTACAGATTTTGCTTTTCAGTTTTTGGAAGCAAAGTTGGGAGTGTCCTACCTCCCTAGGGCTTAGGGATGTCCAAAGCCAAGCAGGATATGCACTGTGGGTTCAGAGGTAGAGGCCCTGTCTTTAGTGTACAAAGCTCAATTAACTGGTCCTTTCCCACAAGTAGTGATGTCTTGGGCTATAGCGCATCAACCCAGGGTCCACTCACTAGTAACAGCATACTCCGATGTACTTTCACCATGGAAACACCAGGGCCAGACACAGTGAGTAGTACACAAAAGTGACAGTCTTCTGCTGTGACCACACCACACCTACCACTGAAAGGAAGAAAGGGAGACTTCACAGAAAGTCCCAATCTGTGTTCCCACAACTAAGTTCTAGCTTCTTTCCAAGAGCCTCCTCTGATTAGCTTCCTACTGCAATGATAAAACTCTATGACCAAAAACAACCTGGGGAGGAAAGAGTATATTGCAGTTTATAGTTTTTAGCTATCAAGAGGGGAAGTCAAGGCAGGAACTCAAGCCAGGAACTGAAGCAGAGAACACAGAGGGTGCTGTTTACTTGCTCAGCCAGCTTTCTTATACAACCTGGGGCCACCTCCTCAGGGGTGCATTGCCCACAGTGAGCTGTGCCCTCCTACATTAATCATAAATCAGGAAAATGTTTCACAGACTTGCCTACAGGCCAATCTGATGGAAGTATCTTCTTAATTGAGGTTCCCTTTCCCCACATGACCTGAGATTGTGCCAAATTGACAAAAGTGCTAACCAGCACAGAACCTAACAAGAGGAAAGGAATGGATGAAAATTGCAGGGTAGAGGAACCAACTAAACTCCCACAGATGTAACAGATTTTGAAGCAGGAAGAGACCCTAAAGACCATCTGTTCCAAACCTTTGAGGCCCAGAAAACTAAGAACTATCCCACAGTTGAGTGGCCATGCAGCCCTGGAACCAGATTTCCTACTGCCATGTCCAGTGTCACCTCATGCCACAGCATTCAAGCTTGGATTCAGAGGCTTGCTAGGCTAGGGCACAGAGCTCTGCACATGGAGAAACTGAATGACAGCCTTCATGATGGATCTCCAGCAGCCCCACGGCAGAGCTGATGATGCCTCATAAGATATTACATTGTCCATGTGAGGAGAGCCTGACCAATCTCCCCTTTACGAACATGGCCATCATCACACCTGCCCAAGAACCCCAGAAGGCAAGGAGAAGAGCCAGGCTCAGAGCCTAGTCACAGCAATAGGTTCATCCTTTACAGTCTACAGCACTGAGATGGCCAGGATCCAACAATGGCCACAGGAGCTAGTGTTGGAGAGGTGACAGCAAGAACAGGATCCAGCCCTCCTCCAGAGCCTTCATGTCAAGCTCTGTGATGACTGTCCCACGTCCCACCCCTCACCCCCACCCCTGCCAAATACCTGGAGATAGACAGTAATCTCTACTACTAATGGAGGAAACTGAAGCTTACAAAGGTTGTGTTGTACCTGAAGTCATACCCAGACCCAGAAAGTAGGTTGCTGAGTCAGTTTTGAGACCACTTTGTGCTGCTCTGCCTGGGGTGGCCCTGAGGGCATTTCAGAAAGCTAGCTCTTCTGGCCTTCCTACTGCATCTCCCTCTTCCTAGCCACACCCCAACCCGCTCAGGACAGTGACTGTTAGCCCCAGCTGCAAGGTTCCATTCTCATTGTTTGCTGACCTATCAGGGAGGGGCAAAGGAAGACAACCGACAGCGAATATCTACTCCTCAGATGCCTTCACTCCCTCTACGGGTCAGGGAGCCAAGCTTGGACTGTTTCAAAGTGCTGTCTCCCACACCTCCCCTGCTACATGCAGTCATCACACAAGCACCTAACTACACATCACCACACACTGTAAAGCTCCAGGCTGATGCTGGAGGATACAGTATGTCAAGAAGACAAACAGGCAGACAGGGAGAGCTACAGCAGAGATGCAAGGAGCGCCCAGAGAACCTGATGCATCCATTCTTCCCTCCAAGAACCAAATCACTGTCTAAACTGCCCATCTGGTGAGAGTACCAGGACCCACCTTTTCAAGAGCTGTTGAATCCATGAGGCTCTCTGTCCTGGCACTTTCATGTAGCTAATACTGTGTGCTGCATCCCTCCCCAGGTAGGAAAGCACCTTCTCTCAAGAGGGTCATCCACACTAATCATCCAGTTAGGGCTCAAATTCAGGTCCCTGTATCTCTGAATGCACTTTCTAAGTATTAAGTTGATGGCCATCTATTCCCACCCAACCCAGTAAATACTTACATCTAATAACCATTTCTACCTAGTAACTATGCATTCCCACCTAATTACTATCTGGTCCCACCTAGTAATTTGCAACCTAGTACCACCAAGCAACTCAGCAGTCCTACCTGATACCTATCTTGTCCTATACACACCTTATACAAATTTTTAGCATTTTGACTGCATCCTGTCACATAAGATCAAGAGAACAATTTTCCATTTATGGCATTATATCGATACTATAAAAGTTTTAGGTGTGAGGAAAACTGAGATTTTGGATGTTTGGTTTAGAGGTGCTACGAATACCCACAAATCCTGGGACCTGTCCTCTGAAATAGTGACTCATGGAGTCTTACAGGGAGGTCTAGATTTCTAACTTTCGTCACTTAGGCAAATATAAGACAGACTTAACATCACCAGCCCAAGTCTACACCTGGTCTCCCCAGAGGACCAGCCAACCCCTAGGTGCAGGTCCAAGGAACACCTTGGCCAGCCCAGAGCATAAAGGATATTTCCATTCAACAATGCTTATGCATGCCCTCCGGATGGGGTTCTTCAGAGTCAGACACAGCAGAGCACGCGGTGGCCGTGTGGCAGTCATACCACCCTGCTTCTTGGGTTTCCCGTACTGTTGCCGCTTCCGCTGTGTGGAACTGACGGTAGAGATGGTTGCGTTGCCAGCACTGCCCATTAGCTTGGCCTGCCGGGCGGCGTCAATGGCTGCCTGCCAGGACAGTGCTGCCCCCGGAGTAGGGATATGCTCGGGGGCGAGCCCTGCAGCTGCATTGGCGTTCATGTTGGCGTGAGCTGGGCGTGGGCTCCCATAGTTGGAACCTGCGAGGAGAGAAAGAAAAGACAACAGTTACTATGATGAAAATGGGAGCCGTGGGGACATACTTTAGATCCCAGACTCAATTTTTGGAAAATAATGTTTTTTTTTTTTTTCAAGCTGTTGCAGGAACTTGGGAGAAACGCTAATATGTATGCTGAGAAATACAGCCAGGAAATCTATTCTAGGCCTTGTTTGACCTTGTTCAACTGGATGACCTTGGACTTGTCACTCTCCTCTCCGGTCTCACTGCTTTGACTTAAGCAGACAAGAGGTTAGACTGTGCTTTCATAGTACGGAGATAGTGAGAAAGAATACAGGGGGAGGTGAAATTAATGCAACAACTGGGCCTTAAAATACTTATTTATAAGAACACGGGAAAGGGAGAATACGAGGGTAAGACATAGGAATTAGGAAGAAGGAAAAATAGGTGGATGAGTAGGCATACAAGCATAGAAACTGATGATGCAAATACACAGTACAATGAAGAGTTTGATACTCTCGACTCTGACTGGAACTCCAAAAGGAAAGATAAATACAATGCAGTGAAGCTGAAGCAAGCTCATATCCAGTGAAGGGATCTGGATGGGGTCCTAGGGAGGCACTGCTGGGATGTGTTGGGACCTGTGTGCTAGATCCTTCTCCAAGCCACTTTCTTCCACCACTAAGATGATTGTTACTTTAGTGACAGTTGCTATTAAGTCAGTTATCTTGTCTCATGCAATCAAAAGAGACCCAACCAACATGCTTGCACAGGGCTCAACACACTTGCTGGGTTCCAAAGTCTGTGTCTTCCCCCATCACAACAGCCACAGGCAATAAATTATAAGTCAAATGATTGACATCAGATTCCATAATGCTGCTCAAAGGGTGCTGAGACTCTTCTGGGCACAAGAGAGGAAAGCTTATCATAACAGATTATCATTGCCTACTGTGGACAGAGGGGAAGGGGTAGGAAATGCACAGATGCCATCTACTTATCATCCACTGGATATCAACACAAGCACATCAGGCCTTCTTTGGTACCAGCTGTCATCAGCCACCTGCACAGCTGTTGTCTGATTTCTGTGGCATTAGACATTCGCCTTAATCCACAGATCCTGGTAAAGTGCCTCCACTCTGCCCTCTTCCCTAGCATATTCATCTCACCATACAATCAATGCCTTTGCTCTCTTCCCTTCCTCTGACCAGTGGCTCCAGGCAACTGGTGCACCACAAGGGTACAGTATATTTACCAGACTATCAGACCTGTAGAGAATAGACCTTTCCCAGACTGAGAAGCACCCTCTGTCACAACTCAACATTTCCTGCTCTCAATATACAGATGCCGAGGATAAAGAAGGCTGGGAACTTTGGTTTTCTTATTAAGACCCCAGAGCAGAAAGCTGAGAGCATGGGTTTGGATTAGTCAGGGAAGCTGAAGTAGAGCTGCTCTCCTAAGCAGCAAGATAAGTGTTTTCAGTCAACACACAAGAAAACAAAAGGGGCACGTGACTCATTAAAGGTCACAAAATGAGACAGTGGAAGATTCTGCTGCACTCAGAACTCATGGTGAGCTGCCACACTATACTCCTCCCTCCTTGGCTCGTCCAACACTCCATACTCATGCACATGTGTGCGCATACAAGCACAGGAATACATATACACTTCCCCCTGTACTTTCTGGGCTGAGGAGAAAGTGGTGAATATCTATATTTAATGAATAACATCTCCAACACTAACACCTGTGGTGACTTCCAAGAGTACCTCCCTGGTGACTGAGAGTGGAAAGTATCCCTGTTCCTTTTTCTTACACTGGTGTGACCAATTCTAAAGTAGTCCTGTGTCCCATCTTGGTTTGCCAAACCTGGCTGTAATTAGTTTTCCCTTGCTTTGTTCTGTCTGTGCCACACAATTTTGACTTTGTAGACTCTATTTAGTTTGACAAAATTTAGTGGATGCTGTTTCAGTTCCTGGATTTACCTTCTCCTACATCTATAAAAGCAGCGATGTTTGCCTATCAACTTTGCACACCCAGTCCCCTACTCATGCCAATGCATTACAATCACCCTTAGTCAATCACCTTCATTGCTCTCGTATCAGTTGACTTATATCACAAACCAATCAGAACCAGGGCTTTGGGATGACTCTTGGGTGGACTCCTGAGCACCCTCACACTCCATAGGATTCCTTATTTATATTGAGACCCATTATTTCCAGAACACCAGAACATCTCTGGAACATACATCTGGAGAAAGCACATGCTAAGAAGCCTCAGAGTGCAGGAGAATGGAATGTCAACTTCTCCCTGGTCAGAGGACAAGAATACAGCTATCCTAGAATACTGCTATAGCCTTTGAGTGATAAAGGACACTCCCACCATAAATGGCCATATGCAGGAAAGAAAGAAGTGTATTCTCCAAGGCCAGTCTCCATGAGGGCTATACTTTTAGGTCACCGTGACCTTGGCCTCTCCGAGTTGCTTTCCCATTCAGACCTAAGGTTCTAGGAGTGTCTCAAGGGCACTCACAATGAGAATTACTACCATCCAGGAGTTGGGGGAGTGGGCAGCTTCCATCTCTGTAGCAAGGATTCTGAGTCCAGAGTAACCCCATGAAGGTAGGGCAGCCCACATTGTTTCTCTGATGTTTTTTGTTAGCACAAAATCACCACCCAATGCAAAGAACAATTTTCAAATTATAAGGCTGATTCAAAGCTTTGCCTCCTTTGCCGCCAGCTGAACCGATGCCACCAGCTAAGTCTGATCTGGTTCCAGCTTTACTGGGCTATATCCACTGATGCTCTGGTGCCCAAGAAAATTCCAGAATAGCAGCTCAGCAGACCAGACCACATGGAAACAGGTAAGAGCTCTACAGCATCGACCACTTCCAGACATAAGAAAAATGATTCCTGTTTGTCCAATGACTGGGCTCCCTTGAAAACAGCAGCATCCATGCCTGCTACATGAAGGTTTTGCCTCTTCTCAGAAGGACAAGGACACAAGCAGGACCCCAGTACAGACCCCCTTAGCTTCATACCACCCTGCCCACCAAGGGCCTAGAGGGATGTCCCAGTCAGGGAATGGACACATGCTTCCTCACTTCCTCCCAGTCAGGAATATGTCCAGTGGGGGTGGGGCTTTAACTCATTCCCCATCCCAGAAGATGCTCAACATCTATTGCTAGTGACTATAGTAATGATGACATAGATAAGCAAGAGCATTGTCATGGTTTGTATGGTAAGTATCCCCTAAAAGCGCGTATGCTTCAGCCTCATTACATGAAGGTGACAAACCTGGGGTCTGATGAGAGGGACTTGACTCACTAGGGATATGTCCCTGAGGGAATATAATCACCCACCCCTTCCTGTCCTTCTGCTTCCCAGCCACCTTGAGGTGAAAGGTCTATGCAAGCCATACTCCCTGGCCATGAGGCAGTGCCTCCCACAGATCCGAAAGCAATGAGCCAATGGGCCATGGACTGGATCTTCTAAAAATGTGAGTCAAAGTAAGCCGTTCCTCCCTCTATGATGTGGCCTCTAGTAGTTTCATAGTGACAGAGAGCTGATTGACATAACATAGACCACAGGCAAACATTGAAAATTTACTCGATAGACTCTGTCTGTCTACACCTTGAGCACTGCAGCCTTCCACTTGCTCCGTGGACAGGGGAGGAGCACTGGGGAAAGGGGGGTGGCTAATGATTTCTGCCTCCTTTGCCACCTCTCTAGTCCAGGCCACCATCCATCTCCTGCCCAGAAATGCTGCAGGAATCCCTGACATTTCCTCTCACTTCCAGGATTCCCCATTTCTAACCCAGGCCTCACTCATAACTAAGTCACAATGATCCTTCGGGAAATACAAATACTAAGTCAGGCCCTGTCATGCTGCTACTTCAATCATTTTCAAACCCGAGATCTTAGTTGTGTTTCTTGAAGCCTGTGCATGTTGTCCCAGCTTCCCTGAGCTTATTACACACTGACCTCCTTTCACCCCTCAAGCATGCCCAGCTCTTATCTGCCACAGTGCATTTACATGTACTTAGCATGTTATTCCCTCTGCTCTCTGCTTAGTGGTTCCTTTTCACATTCCTGGCCCGGCTTTAAACTATTCTGACTTAAAACCTCGAATCCAAGAAAGCAGAATCCAACCAGTAACTTCCAGTATTCCTGCCCCTCCCTCCTCCATGCCACCCTTGATAAAGATGCCCAGATTCCTGGGCAACATAAAGGGAGCCACAAATGTGGAAAAGGTATGTGCTTCAACAGCACAGTCTCCTTCTGTGGTCATGTGCCCTCTGCCACAAATAGAGCTGGTGACTCCCGAAGAATGCCTTAGTGACTTATAGGTCAGAGACAGTTCACCCCAGGAAGGAAAGGGCTGAAAACTGGTGTCCAACTGGAGTCCTGGTCACTTGAGAGTCTCAGAGTACACTGCAAAGGCCTTCTTTGGGTCCAGAAATCACTCAAGACCTTTGCAGCCATCTATCTGAATTTTACATATGCCAATCCCTCATGATGACAAGTGTCCCATATTCCCCTAAACACAAAGTAGCCATCCTCAAACCAGAGCTACACCAGCTTGAACCATGCAAATCTGGTGACTAGAAAACAAGAAGACTCTGTTTCCTGGTTTTGAACTAACCGAGATTCTGTCCATCACCAGCTCAAGGGATCTCATGCACAGATGAATTCCATGGGCCTTCGAGGCTCACTCTGTAACAGGGAGTGACAGGCAGAAGGAGATCTTGGCTGAACTTCTAACTCCTTTCTACTTCCTTCCTGGACTACAGTGGCAAAGATCTGAGACAAGGCTCAGTCTCTCTGAAGCCAGAAGTCCTAACACAGCTACGGGAGTGAACAATCAAGACCCTATGTGAAACTAAACCAGGTGGAGCCGGAATCTGCTCACTGGTACAGTCCACCAGGGTCCTGCCAACTAATCTCATGAGGCACAGTGGACTGCAACTTCCCAGCTTCCTAACCAAATGCAGTCCCCTTGACCTGCTCCACAGTGCTGCTAGGGTGC